GTGTCTGGGAAGTCAGGTGTCTGGGAAGTCTGGTGTCTGGGAAGCAAGGCTAGGAAGTCAGGTGTCTGGGAAGCAAGGCTGGGAAGTCAGGTGTCTGGGAAGTCAAGTGTCTGAAAAGTCAGGTGTCTGGGAAGTCAGGTGTCTGGGAAGTCAGGTGTCTGGGAAGTCAGGTGTCTGGGAAGTCAGGTGTCTGGGAAGTCAGGTATCTGGGAAGTCAGGTGTCTGGGAAGCCAGGTGTCTGGGAAGTCAGGTGTCTGGGAAGCAAGGCTGGGAAGTCAGGTGTCTGGGAAGTCAGGTGTTTGGGAAGTCAGGTGTCTGGGAAGTCAGGTGTCTGAGAAGTCAGGTGTCTGGGAAGTCAGGTGTCTGGGAAGTCAGGTATCTGAGAAGTAAGGTGTCTGGGAAGTAAGGCGTCTGGGAAGTCAGGTGTCTGAGAAGTCAGCTGTCTGGGAAGCAAGGCTGGGAAGTCAGGTGTCTGGGAAGTCAGGTGTCTGAGAAGTCAGGTGTCTGGGAAGTCAGGTGTCTGGGAAGCAAGGCTGGGAAGTCAGGTGTCTGGGAAGTCAGGTGTCTGGGAAGTCAGGTGTCTGGGAAGTCAGGTGTCTGGGAAGTCAGGTGTCTGGGAAGTCAGGTGTCTGGGAAGTCAGGTATCTGGGAAGTCAGGTATCTGGGAAGTCAGATGTCTGGGAAGTCAGGTGTCTGGGAAGTCAGGTGTCTGGGAAGTCAGGTGTCTGGGAAGTCAGGTATCTGAGAAGTCAGGTGTCTGGGAAGTCAGGTGTCTGGGAAGTCAGGTATCTGAGAAGTCAGGTATCTGAGAAGTCAGGTATGCGTAATATACAAATTTGTTGGAGAGGTCATGATGTCACGCAGGTGTCACGCAGGTGTCACGCAGGTATCATGCAGGTGTCACGCAGGTATCATGCAGGTGTCACGCAGGTGTCACGCAGGTATCACGCAGGTATCACGCAGGTATCATGCAGGTATCATGCAGGTGTCACGCAGGTATCACGCAGGTATCACGCAGGTGTCACGCAGGTATCATGCAGGTATCACGCAGGTATCACGCAGGTATCACGCAGGTATCACGCAGGTATCACGCAGGTGTCATGCAGGTGTCACGCAGGTATCACGCAGGTATCATGCAGGTATCATGCAGGTATCACGCAGGTATCACGCAGGTATCACGCAGGTGTCACGCAGGTGTCACGCAGGTATCACGCAGGTATCACGCATTTATCACGCAGGTATCACGCAGGTGTCACGCAAGTGTCACGCAAGTGTCACGCAGGTGTCAAGCAGGTATCACGCAGGTATCACGCAGGTATCACGCAGGTATCACGCAGGTATCACGCAGGTATCACGCAGGTATCACGCAGGTGTCACGCAAGTGTCACGCAGGTGTCAAGCAGGTATCACGCAGGTATCACGCAGGTATCACGCAGGTATCACGCAGGTATCACGCAGGTATCACGCAGGTGTCACGCAGGTGTCACGCAGGTATCACGCAGGTGACACGCAGGTATCACGCAGGTATCACGCAGGTATCACGCAGGTATCATGCAGGTATCACGCAGGTGTCACGCAAGTGTCACGCAGGTGTCACGCAGGTATCACGCAGGTGACACGCAGGTATCACGCAGGTATCACGCAGGTATCACGCAGGTATCACGCAGGTATCATGCAGGTATCACGCAGTCAAACTTTGACTTGTTATCAAGAAGGACATTATCCACTTGTTTCATGAAACTATTTTTCTGATGAAAGATGAAGCTTCTGAGATAAACAACAGCACTAAAAGCTTAAAGCTGACCACAAGCTGTGTTAGCTGTGTTAGCTGTGTTAGCTGTGTTAGCTGTGTTAGCTGTGTTCCTCAACTATTACACAGACCTCCAACAATTTTAAGTTTATTAACCAGGTTAAAATATTATTAAATTTGTACCTATAAAGCCTAAACCCTCCAAAATTTTATTCATTTTTATAATAAATCAACCAATAAAATTTTAAGCCATTCAGATATACTCCAGTTGTTTATTGGAGAATATTTTGGATGGACTAAGAAAACTGTAGCTAACAGATGGATGGCTCTTCCATAATGTCCAGTATATAAGGGTTCACTCAACTCAAAAAAATTTAAATACGCTATGAAAACGAAAGTTTTTCAATGCATTTTTTAATTTTCTTTCATTTTTTATACCAATCTTAAAATTTTCTGCAATAATCTAAGATTTGTTGTTATTTTGCGTGTTTTTTAAGATAGTCTATGATAAAAATTCCAATAATTCCAAGTTTTAAAGAAACATTTATTGCATTGGCAAATTTCCTGTCCATAAGATGAATCACCTATTAAATATTGAAGCCATTCAGATGAAGATGCATATATTTTAATCTTGATGACTAAACAGTATTCCAACTTTTGCACTATTTTACACATAAAATGGTCAACTATGTACCTACTACACACCTGACTTTCACTCTCCACCGTCGTTCAATTATTGAACTTTGGAAGCTGTCCTGTTGAGAGTTTTGCAAGTTATCTGAGTCATTGCAAGATCCACCATGAAACCTGGTCACAGACCGGGCCGCGGGGGCGTTGACCCCCGGAACTCTCTCGAGGTAAACTCCAGGTAATACTAGGAATGAGTTCAATAACTTTGGTCACAAAACTCCTGCAGTAAGTATATTCAGGCACACATACATGTATGTACAATTATCATACATAGCGTAAATTATCCACAACTGGGCTGTGGTTCATATGTTGGTTTGTGTGTGGCCAGCAGTAACAACCTGGTTCATCAGGCCCTGATCCACCACAAGGACTGGTCATGGACTGGGTTGCGGAGGCACTGACCCCTGAACACCCTCCAGGTATACCCTCCTGGAGGGAGGATATACCCAAAAAAGTCAGACAGCCCAAAAAAGTCAGACAAAGTGACTTAACAAATCATTCAAGTCAGGTGAAATTGCAGAGCTAGAGAATGTACAGAGAACCTTTACTGCACATATAAGTTCCATCAAACACCTTGACTACTGGAAGCACTTGACTTGTACTCACTAGTGCGCAGGCGAGAGAGATATATCATAATCTACACCTGGAAGATTCTGGAGGGACTGGTCCCTAATATGCACGCAGCAATCACTCCATACGAAAGCAAAAGACTTAACAGGCGATGCAACATACCCCCATTGAAAAGTAGGGGCGTCACTGGTACACTAAGAGAAAACACAATAAGTGTCCGGGGCCCAAGACTGTTCAACAGCCTCCCACCAGCAATAAGGGGCATTATGGGAAAACCCCTGGTTGTCTTCAAGAAGGAGCTGGACAGATACCTAAAGACGGTGCCGGATCAGCCGGGCTGTGGTTCGTACGTTGGATTGCGTGCGGCCAGCAGTAACAGCCTCGATGATCAGGAACTGATCCACTGGCAGACCTGGTCATGGACCGGGCCGAGGGGTCGTTGATCCCCAGAATGTCCTCTAGGTAGACTCCAGGTAGATATCACGGGTAGGGTTTGAACCCGTGGCCAGAGAGTCTCAAAACTCCAGACCGTCGCGTTAGCTACTGGGCCAGCTAGCTTCAATAAGATTCGTCCAACTATGTATTTCTACACCATAGGAAGGTTAACATAGGCACCACTATGTCCACAAATGCAAGATTTTTACAGGCAAATCTCCCGCTAGCGTGGCCGTGACGAGCTCTAGCTCAAGTCCCCTCAAAGCCGTAAACATGACTCACGAAATCGTAATGACACGATTGCAAACAAACCATATTACGGATAGGGTTTGAACCCACGGTCAGAGTCTCAAAATTCCAGACTATCATGATGATTTCGTGAGTCAAGTTAAAGTGACTTACCTCCATTAAGGTCCATGTATTTTTTCATTGGGGTCCTTGTATTGCCATACCAGTTGGTCCCAGAATCTGGTCCTTATTACCGTACACACACATTGCAGTTTTTAAGATGACTGCATGAGCGGTTCTCGAGTTACGAGTAAAATAATAAAGAAAAGCAAAAAAAAAAAAAAAAAAGAAATGCAGACAACTCTTTTAAGGTCTTCCTTGAGGGATACCTAGTAAGATACCATAGACTAAGACATGTTCTACAGTATCTTCCTAATCACTGAGTATCACTACATACCACTGACACCACTAGGTATCACTGGCAACACTAGGTACCACTGGCACCACTAGGTATCACTGGCAACACTAGGTACCACTGGCACCACTAGGTATCACTGGCAACACTAGGTACCACTGACACCACTAGGTACCACTGACACCACTAGGTACCACTGGCACCACTAGGTATCACTGGCAACACTAGGTACCACTGACACCACTAGGTACCACTGACACCACTAGGTACCACTGACACCACTAAGTACCACTGACAACAGTAGGTACCATGAGCGTCACTAGGTACTACTTGAAGGACCGGTCCAGTGGAGTGATCGTGACGGTGTCCGAGTTTCGGTATCATGACTTTTCACTTAATTTAAATAAGAGATTTAAGCAAATATTGTACAATTTCAGGCAGTAGTCTATAAGATCATCAGCATTTTCGTACACGAATAGAATTTTCTTGCAAATCCACATATAAGTGTACATATATAAAAAAATATTAACTGAAAGGTTCAATAAGTGTTGATTTCGGTCCCCTGAGGGGAGCTGCCTTAAAGCAGATTAGAGTTTCTTGGTCCCAAGAACTAGAGCCTACCTTTCACTTCCTCGGATCAACCTCGACTGCCCTCATTCTCCAGAGGGGGTAGACCCATACGGATCAAGCCCTCACCGTGAATATACAAAAAACATTAGCTTCATGGACCTCAGCTTGGTGATAATGAACCCGGATAAAGGCTCCAGCTGGTCAATGTTCATTTCTATAATGTAGGAATTTTTTCTTTTTGAATTTCGTTAAAAAAATTATCAATGATCATCGAAAAGAAGAAAAAATAATTAGTATCTTTGGTTAGACTTTGAAGCGCTAAACCTGGAGGTGCTGAGGAAAATAATTTGGAGTGTTTTGAATACGTGGCTCCTGTCCTTGACCTATTTACAAGTGTTATTGTGGTGGTGCTTGTTAACACTGGTGGTGCTTGTTGTGGTGGTGCTTGTTAACAGTGGTGATGCTTGTTGTGGTGCTTGTTAACAGTGGTGGTGCTTGTTAACACTGGTGGTGCTTGTTGTGGTGGTGCTTGTTAACACTGGTGGTGCTTGTTGTGGTGGTGCTTGTTAACAGTGGTGGTGCTTGTTGTGGTGCTTGTTAACAGAGGTGGTGCTTGTTAACAGTGATGGTGCTTGTTGTGGTGGTGCTTGTTAACAGTGGTGATGCTTGTTGTGGTGCTTGTTAACAGTGGTGGTGCTTGTTGTGGTGGTGCTTGTTAACAGTGGTGGTGCTTGTTGTGGTGCTTGTTAACAGAGGTGGTGCTTGTTAACAGTGATGGTGCTTGTTGTGGTGGTGCTTGTTAACAGTGGTGATGCTTGTTGTGGTGCTTGTTAACACTGGTGGTGCTTGTTGTGGTGGTGCTTGTTAACAGTGGTGATGCTTGTTGTGGTGCTTGTTAACAGTGGTGGTGCTTGTTGTGGTGGTGCTTGTTAACAGTGGTGATGCTTGTTAACACTGGTGGTGCTTGTTAACAGTGGTGGTGCTTGTTAACACTGGTGGTGCTTGTTAACACTGGTGGTGCTTGTTAACAGTGGTGATGCTTGTTAACAGTGGTGGTGCTTGTTGTGGTGGTGCTTGTTAACAGTGGTGATGCTTGTTAACACTGGTGGTGCTTGTTAACAGTGGTGGTGCTTGTTAACACTGGTGGTGCTTGTTAACACTGGTGGTGCTTGTTGTGGTGGTGCTTGTTAACAGTGGTGATGCTTGTTGTGGTGCTTGTTAACAGTGGTGGTGCTTGTTAACAGTGGTGATGCTTGTTGTGGTGCTTGTTAACAGTGGTGGTGCTTGTTAACAGTGGTGGTGCTTGTGGTGGTGCTTGTTAACAGTGGTGGTGCTTGTTAACAGTGGTGGTGCTTGTTGTGGTGGTGCTTGTTAACAGTGGTGGTGCTTGTTGTGGTGGTGCTTGTTAACAGTGGTGGTGCTTGTTAACAGTGGTGGTGCTTGTTGTGGTGGTGCTTGTTAACAGTGGTGATGCTTGTTGTGGTGCTTGTTAACAGTGGTGGTGCTTGTTAACAGTGGTGGTGCTTGTTGTGGTGGTGCTTGTTAACAGTGGTGATGCTTGTTGTGGTGCTTGTTAACAGTGGTGGTGCTTGTTGTGGTGCTTGATAACAGTGGTGGTGCTTGTTGTGGTGGTGCTTGTTAACAGTGGTGGTGCTTGTTGTGGTGCTTGTTAACAGTGGTGGTGCTTGTTAACAGTGGTGGTGCTTGTTGTGGTGCTTGTTAACAGTGGTGGTGCTTGTTAACAGTGGTGGTGCTTGTGGTGGTGCTTGTTAACAGTGGTGATGCTTGTTGTGGTGCTTGTTAACAGTGGTGGTGCTTGTTGTGGTGCTTGTTAACAGTGGTGGTGCTTGTTGTGGTGCTTGTTAACAGTGGTGGTGCTTGTTGTGGTGGTGCTTGTTAACAGTGGTGGTGCTTGTTGTGGTGCTTGTTAACAGTGGTGGTGCTTGTTAACAGTGGTGGTGCTTGTTGTGGTGCTTGTTAACAGTGGTGGTGCTTGTTAACAGTGGTGGTGCTTGTTGTGGTGGTGCTTGTTAACAGTGGTGATGCTTGTTGTGGTGCTTGTTAACAGTGGTGGTGCTTGTTAACAGTGGTGGTGCTTGTTGTGGTGGTGCTTGTTGTGGTGGTGCTTGTTAACAGTGATGGTGCTTGTTAACAATGGTGGTGCTTGTTGTGGTGGTGCTTGTTAACAGTGATGGTGCTTGTTCTGGTGCTTGTTAACAGTGGTGGTGCTTGTTAACAGTGGTGGTGCTTGTTAACAGTGGTAGTGCTTGTTGTGGTGGTGCTTGTTAACAGTGGTGGTGCTTGTTAACAGTGGTGGTGCTTGTTAACAGTGGTGATGCTTGTTAACAGTGGTGGTGCTTGTTAACAGTGGTGGTGCTTGTTAACAGTGGTGGTGCTTGTGGTGGTGCTTAACAGTGATGGTGCTTGTTAACAGTGGTGGTGCTTGTTAACAGTGGTGGTGCTTGTTAACAGTGATGGGGCTTGTTAACAGTGGTGGTGCTTGTTGTGGTGGTGCTTGTTAACAGTGATGGTGCTTGTTAACAGTGGTGGTGCTTGTTGTGGTGGTGCTTGTTAACAGTGGTGGTGCTTGTTAACAGTGATGGTGCTTGTTAACAGTGGTGGTGCTTGTTAACAGTGGTGGTGCTTGTTAACAGTAGTGGTGCTTGTTGTGGTGGTGCTTGTTAACAGTGATGGTGCTTGTTAACAGTGGTGGTGCTTGTTGTGGTGGTGCTTGTTAACAGTGGTGGTGCTTGTTAACAGTGATGGTGCTTGTTAACAGTGGTGGTGCTTGTTAACAGTGGTGGTGCTTGTTAACAGTGGTGATGCTTGTTAACAGTGGTGATGCTTGTTAACAGTGGTGGTGCTTGTTAACAGTGGTGATGCTTGTTAACAGTGGTGATGCTTGTTGTGGTTGTGCTTGTTAACAGTGATGGTGCTTGTGGTGGTGCTTGTTAATGGTGGTGCTTATTGTGGTGGTACTTGTTAACAGTGATGGTGCTTGTGGTGGTGCTTGATAACAGTGATGGTGCTTGTTAACAGTGGTGGTGCTTGTTAACAGTGGTGATGCTTGTTAACTGGTGGTGCTTGTTAACAGTGGTGATGGTGCTTGTTAACAGTGGTGATGCTTGTTAACAGTGGTGGTGCTTGTTAACAGTGTGGTGCTTGTTAACAGTGGTGGTGCTTGTTAACAGTGGTGATGCTTGTTAACAGTGGTGGTGCTTGTTAACAGTGGGGGTGCTTGTTAACAGTGGTGGTGCTTGTTAACAGTGGTGGTGCTTGTTAACAGTGGTGGTGCTTGTGGTGCTTGTTGTGGCAGTGCTTGTGGTGGTGCTTGTTAACAGTGGTGGTGCTTGTTAACAGTGGTGCTTGTTAACAGTGGTGGTGCTTGTTAACAGTGGTGATGCTTGTTAACAGTTGTGGTGCTTGTTAACAGTGGTGGTGCTTAACAGTGGTGCTTGTTAACAGTGTTGGTGCTTGTTAACAGTGGTGGTGCTTGTTAACAGTGGTGATGCTTGTTAACAGTGGTGCTTGTTAACAGTGGTGGTGCTTGTTAACAGTGGTGGTGCTTGTTAACAGTGGTGGTGCATGTTAACAGTGGTGATGCTTGTTAGCAGTGGTGGTGCTTGTTAACAGTGGTGGTGCTTGTTAACAGTGGTGATGGTTGTTAACAGTGGTGCTTGTTAACAGTGTGGTGCTTGTTAACAGTGGTGATGCTTGTTAACAGTGGTGGTGCTTGTTAACAGTGGTGGTGCTTGTTAACAGTGGTGATGCTTGTTAGCTGTGGTGGTGCTTGTTAACAGTGGTGGTGCTTGTTAACAGTGGTGATGCTTGTTAACAGTGGTGATGCTTGTTAACTGTGGTGGTGCTTGTTAACAGTGGTGGTGCTTGTTAACAGTGGTGCTTGTTAACAGTGGTGATGCTTGTTAACAGTGGTGGTGCTTGTTAACAGTGGTGGTGCTTGTTAACAGTGGTGGTGCTTGTTAACAGTGGTGGTGCTTGTTAACAGTGGTGGTCCTTGTTGTGGTGGTGCTTGTTAACAGTGGTGGTGCTTGTTAACAGTGGTGATGCTTGTTAACAGTGGTGGTGCTTGTTAACAGTGGTGGTGCTTGTTAACAGTGGTGATGGTTGTTAACAGTGGTGCTTGTTAACAGTGTGGTGCTTGTTAACAGTGGTGATGCTTGTTAACAGTGGTGGTGATTGTTAACAGTGGTGGTGCTTGTTAACAGTGGTGATGCTTGTTAACTGTGGTGGTGCTTGTTAACAGTGGTGGTGCTTGTTAACAGTGGTGATGCTTGTTAACAGTGGTGATGCTTGTTAACTGTGGTGGTGCTTGTTAACAGTGGTGATGCTTGTTAACAGTGGTGGTGCTTGTTAACAGTGGTGATGCTTGTTAACAGTGGCAGTGCTTGTTAACAGTGGTGGTGCTTGTTAACAGTGGTGATGCTTGTTAACAGTGGTGGTGCTTGTTAACAGTGGTGGTGCTTGTTAACAGTGATACTTGTTAACAGTGGTGGTGCTTGTTAACAGTGGTGGTCCTTGTTGTGGTGGTGCTTGTTAACAGTGGTGGTGCTTGTGGTGGTGCTTGTTAACAGTGGTGGTGCTTGTTAGCTGGTGGTGCTTGTTAACAGTGGTGGTGCTTGTTAACAGTGGTGCTTGTTAACAGTGGTGGTGCTTGTTAACAATGTTGATGCTTGTTGACAGTGGTGGTGCTTGTTAACAGTGGTGGTGCTTGTTAACAGTGGTGGTGCTTGTTAACAGTGGTGGTGCTTGTTAACAGTGATGGTGCTTGTTAACAGTGGTGGTGCTTGTTAACAGTGGTGCTTGTTAACAGTGTTGGTGCTTGTTAACAGTGGTGGTGCTTGTTAACAGTGGTGATACTTGTTAACAGTGGTGGTGCTTGTTAACAGTGGTGATGCTTGTTAACAGTGGTAGTGCTTGTTAACTGTGGTGGTGCTTGTTGTGGTGGTGCTTAACAGTGGTGGTGCTTGTTAACAGTGGCGGTGCTTGTTAACAGTGGTGGTGCTTGTTAACAGTGATGCTTGTTAACAGTGGTGGTGCTAGTGGTGGTACTTAACAGTTGTGGTGTTTGTTAACAGTGGTGGTGTTTGTTAACAGTGGTGGTGCTGGTTAACAGTGGTGATGCTTGTTAACAGTGGTGGTGCTTGTTAACTGGTGGTGCTTGTTAACAGTGGTGGTGCTTGTTAACAGCGGTGGTGCTTGTTAACAGTGGTGCTTGTTAACAGTGGTGATGCTTGTTAACAGTGGTGGTGCTTGTTAACAGTGGTGGTACTTGTGGTGGTTCTTGTTAACAGTGGTGGTGCTTGTTAACAGTGGTGGTGCTTGTTAACAGTGGTGGTGCTTCTTAACAGTGGTGATGCTTGTTAACAGTGGTGGTGCTTGTTAACAGTGGTGGTGCTTGTTAACAGTGGTGGTGCTTGTTAACGGTGGTTGTGCTTGTTGTGGTGGTGCTTGTTAACAGTGGTGGTGCTTGTTAACAGTGGTGGTGCTTGTTGTGGTGGTGCTTGTTAACAGTGGTGGTGCTTGTTAACAGTGGTGGTGCTTGTTAACAGTGGTGGTGCTTGTTAACAGTGGTGATGCTTGTTAACAGTGGTGGTGCTTGTTGTGGTGGTGCTTGTTAACAGTGGTGGTGCTTGTGGGGGTGCTTGTTAACAGTGGTGGTGCTTGTTGTGGTGCTTAACAGTGGTGATGCTTGTTGTGGTGGTGCTTGTTAACAGTGGTGGTGCTTGTTGTGGTGGTGCTTGTTAACAGTGGTGGTGCTTGTGGTGGTGCTTGTGGGGGTGCTTGTTAACAATGATGCTTGTTAGCTGTGGTGGTGCTTGTTAGCTGTGGTGGTGCTTGTTAGCTGTGCTGCTGTTTGTTAGCTGTGGTGATGCTTGTTAGCTGTGGTGGTGCTTGTTAGCTGTGGTGGTGCTTGTTAGCTGTGCTAGTGTTTGTTAGCTGTGCTGGTGCTTGTTAGCTGTGCTGGTGTTTGTTAGCTATGGTGGTGCTTGTTAACAGTGGTGGTGCTTGTGGTGATGCTTGTTGGGGTGATGCTTGTTAACAATGATGCTTGTTAGCTGTGGTGGTGCTTGTTAGCTGTGCTGGTGTTTGTTAGCTGTGGTGGTGCTTGTTAGCTGTGGTGGTGCTTGTTAGCTGTGCTGGTGTTTGTTAGCTGTGGTGGTGCTTGTTAGCTGTGGTGGTGCTTGTTAGCTGTGGTGGAGCTTGTTACCTGTGGTGGTGCTTGTTAGCTGTTATGGTGCTTTTTAAAAACCTGTGGTGGTGCTTGTTAACAGTGATGCTTGTTAGCTGTTATGGTGCTTGTTAGCTGTTATAGTGCTTGTTAGTTGTGCTGGTGCTTGTTAGCTGTTATGGTGCTTGTTAGCTGTTATGGTGCTTGTTAGCTGTTATGGTGCTTGTTAGCTGTTATGGTGCTTGTTAGCTGTGCTGGCGCTTGTTAGCTGTGCTGGTGCTTCTTAGCTGTTATGGTGCTTGTTAGCTGTGCTGGCACTTGTTAGCTGTGCTGGTGCTTGTTAGCTGTGCTGGTGCTTGTTAGCTGTGCTGGTGCTTGTTAGCTGTTATGGTGCTTGTTAGCTGTGGTGGTGCTTGTTATTTCTGATGGCGGTTATTAACTGTGTGATGGTTAACTGTATGATGGTGGTTGTTAACTGTATATTGGTGGTTAACTGTGTACTGGTGGTTAACTGTGTACTGGTGGTTAACTGTGTACTGGTGGTTAACTGTGTACTGGTGGTTAACTGTGTACTGGTGGTTGTTAACTGTGTACTGGTGGTTGTTAACTGTGTACTGGTGGTTAACTGTGTACTGGTGGTTAACTGTGTACTGGTGGTTGTTAACTGTGTACTGGTGGTTGTTAACTGTGTACTGGTGGTTAACTGTGTACTGGTGGTTGTTAACTGTGTACTGGAGGTTAACTGTGTACTGGTGGTTAACTGTGTACTGGTGGTTGTTAACTGTGTACTGGTGGTTAACTGTGTACTGGTGGTTAACTGTGTACTGGTGGTTGTTAACTGTGTACTGGAGGTTAACTGCATGATGGTGGTTGTTAACTGTGTGATGGTGGTTGTTAACTGTGTGATGGTGGTTAACTATGTACTGGTGGTTGTTAACTGTGTGATGGTGGTTGTTAACTGTGTACTGGTCATTGTTAACTAAGTACTGGTGGTTGTTAACTGTGTACTGGTGGTTGTTAACTGTGTACTGGTCATTGTTAACTAAGTACTGGTGGTTGTTAACTATGTACTGGTGGTTGTTAACTATGTACTGGTGGTTGTTAACTATGTACTGGTGGTTGTTAACTATGTACTGGTGGTTGTTAACTATGTACTGGTGGTTGTTAACTATGTACTGGTGGTTGTTAACTATGTACTGGTGGTTGTTAACTGTACTGGTTACATGTTTGTCTCACAATAATCTGCTATCTATAATCGGCCCATTATCTTTCTCTTTATCAGATATTATTTATAATCACAGTACTGGCATGACTAGGTCTATAGTATTCACCCTGATGTATTTCCAACATACCCACTCTGCTGTATTTCCAACATACCCACTCTGCTGTATTTCCAACATACCCACTCTGCTGTATTTCTAATATAACATACCCACTCTGCTGTATTTACAATATTCTGTTTGAATATATATTAGGTTATACCAAATAATTAACACCCACTTTACTATGTAAGATAATTGTAAAAATTATAGCCTTTGTAATGTGTGTAATAACAATTTACTCTAATATTAAATCATGCATATTTGACTTCATTTACTTAAGTACTTTATCCATGTCATCTCAAAGGCTCTTTTTCTCTCATCAGTCAATCAGTCAAGTTTATTCTCTATAAAGATTACAATGCGTGGTTTACATATTATAGGATATCGTGTGGTTTACATATTATGAAATACTAATTACAGAGAGGGCCACTATCATGCCTAGCATGACTAGGCATTTCTGTTTTGCTCTCACACCTTGCACACCTAAATGTCGTTCACCATTGTACGAACATTGTATCATGCTGAAATAAAATTTATTAATGTTCATTGCGCAGATGTTTCAGTGGCGGAAATGCTCTGCATAACCAGGGACTTTCTATAAAGCACGTCAGTACTATCACTTTTCTTGAACTAAATATAAGCCATACATTACAGAAATAAAGTTTATCATCATCTGCCAGTATCTGTAATTTTGTACCTGTCATGACTCTTCATGGCGATGACTTGATGCTATATCTTCTGAATCTTTGATGAGTTCCAAGTCTTTCTACTCTTGGAGCCCGGCATGCTAGGAAAGGGCTCTTGATCCAAGAATTTTGGAGCTACTTTTCTCTTGAATTAAGCCTCATTATTTCCCAGTCCCCCAGACACTGTGTGACCCCCTACAGGTTTAGCTCTTCCTAATGAATATAATAATTACAACAGGTAAGTCATTTAAATAAATTGGGATCCTCATCACATCCAGTACAGATCTTTGTGGATCTCATGATTTTTGCTCCATTGCCCTTGTTTGAAATTTATATTTCCCAGGTGAAGGAGACTCTGGTAACAGTTCCATGGACATCATATGTACTATGTGGATATCTGTGGACATCAAAAAATACACTCCATCCCAGAACACTATAAACTGATACAGTAATACAAGTAGTGTGTTACATTTTCTTAGGATTTACTTCTGACTTTCACAAAATTAGAAATATTTTTATTTTTTCAATGCTACTTCTGTAAAAAAAAGTGCTTTGATTCAATAATGGCAAAACTATTGAAAGCAATTAAAAGAGCTGGAGAGCAGTTCCCAGTTTTGCGAGGGATGGTAACATACTCTGTGTTGTGGCCCACGTCTAACTTGGTACAACAGTCCCTTGACAAAACCCGTGATAAGTACGATCCAGTAGAGTCTCTGCGTTACCTCGTTCTGGGGACGTTTGTCACAGCTCCAACAGTGTACGTCTGGGTGAGGCTAGCGAGTAAAATCGTCAGAGGGAACACTGTTAAACATGCAGTCGTCAAGGTAAGGTCTTTGCTAGTTACTTTGTCATACAATAATTGAGACTTGTGGATAATCGCAGTGAACCTAACATAGTAATGGTAAAAAAATAATAAAATAAAAATTCCTCCAAATATTTAGTATATAGAACAAAAAGGCACAGTACCATGACTGGCACAATACACAAATAATCCACACATAGAGAGAAGCTTATGACGACGTTTCGGTTTGACTTCGACCACTGACAAGTCAGTGTGACTTGTAAATGGTCCAAGTCGGACTAAAATGTCATCATAAGTTTTTCTCTCCTCTATGTGCTGGTTATTTGTGTATTGGGTACACAGACATGTAATACAGAATAATCTTTTATACAGTACGTATATTGAGTTCTTAGTGCAATATTAACACGCTGGCTGTCTCCCACTGAGGAAAGTGACCTAAACAAGAAGAAATCCTTTCGTTAGAAAGTTTTTCTTCTTTTATACATTTAGTAATTTTTACATTTAGTAATTTATTGCTCCTGACAATATTGTCATCACTAATTGTTTTTATACCCATCGCTACCTTCAGTAGATTTTTTTTTTTGGATTTCATGGCATTGTTTGCCAAAGTTTAAGTATTGACTGACTTCCCCACTCAACTACTCATTAATAGATAATGTGATATAATTATGCTAGACTGTTGCTGTAGAAAGAAGTTTGAGGTGTATACCTGGAGTATACCTGGAGAGGGTTATAGGAGTCAGCGCCCCTGCGGCCCGGTGAGCTGCATCACTGTCTGTTGATGGAAAGATGGTATGAAACGAAGTGGTGAGTCATAATAGCTGAAGAAAGAATTTTCAGTGAATACCATAAAACAGACAGAACCTAGAATTTTTTTTTAAGTTGATCAAAAGAACTGCCAACCTTGATATTTACAGTAACAAATTATCCTAGCAATAGCAAAAAAGAAAAATGTATATGAATAAATGCTCCATGTAATTTTGAATCATATTTTGTATCGTTTTACTATATAATGGACTAATAGGGGGATGGGGTGTGAAATGAATTGAGTATGTTACATCAAAATTATAAAATTGATTCTTCTTGAACAGACAAAATTTTAATGTAAAAGACTTGGTCTGTTGTACAGAGAGCTTACCAAACACACTACTGCTAAAAATAAAGTCTTGGCATAATGACTTAGTTTGTTAAATCAAGCCTTTGTCTGGCTAAATATTATGTCCATTGTATCAGAATTTATTTATTTATTTATTTATTTAATAATTTGAACATACAGTGGTACAAAAAAATACAGGTAAGAGCAGTATGCCAAAGCCACTTGTATGCATAGCATTACGTGCAGCCTTAAAATTAACTTAAGATTAACTAAGCAATGATGTAATCAGTGATAAAACATTATTGTAAACAGATAACAATAAAGCACAAATGAGTATTACAAAGACAGGTCATATGGTTGCTTGCATTGCTGTACATTCAGTAGAATGGAGTATTCTGTTAGGTAGTGTATTTAAAAAATAACAAAGTTAGATTGGGTCTTAGGTTTAACATTTATGTGATATAATTATGAGAAAGTATTCTGTTAGGTAGTGTATTTAAAAAAATAACAAAGTTATATCACATTTATGTGATATAATTATGAGAAACATTTAAGATATACAATTTATAAGGGTCAGTTATTCAGTATTTGGGTGAGTAAGTGATCTTTGAGAAGAGACTTGAATTTATAAACAGATGGAGTTTCTTTTATATTTACAGGTAATGAATTCCAGATTTTAGGGCCTTTTATGTGCATTGAGTTTTTGCATAGTGTGAGATGGACACGAGGAACATCAAAGAGTGATCTGTGCCTTGTGTTATGATCATGTATTCTGTTGAGGTTGGTAAGGAGATGTTTGAGGGGAGGGTTAATATCAGAGTTAAGTGTTCTATGTATGTAATAGGTGCAGTAATAAGTATGGATGTTTTGTATGGTGAGTAGGTTTAGTGTTTTGAATATTGGTGGAGTGTGCTGCCTGTAGTGGGAATTTGTTATCATTCTGACTGCAGCCTTTTGTTGGGTAATTAGTGGTCTGAGATGGTTAATTGTTGTTGAGCCCCATGCACAAATTCCATAGGTGAGATAAGGGTAAATTAGAGTGATATAGGGCCAGGAGGGCTGACTGTGGAACATAGTACCGTATCTTCGATAATATGCCTACGGTCTTGGAAATTTTCTTAGAAATTTGTTGTATATGTGTATGAAATTTGAGTCTATTATCAAGGTGGATTCCTAAGAATTTTCCCTCTGTTAGCTATGTGATAGGGAATCCGTTTATCATTATGTTAAGAGGGACATCTGTAGCTCTGTTACCAAACTGAATGAAGTAGATTTTGTCAATGTTTAGTGTAAGTTTGTTAGTCCTCATCCAGGTAGATATTTTCTGTAGTTCGGTATTTACAGTATTGGCTAGCATGACTTGGCTCGGGTGAGAGAAGACGTATGTAGTGTCGTCTGCAAATAGTGTGGGTTTGAGTAATTGCGAAGCATTTGGTAGGTCATTTATGTACAGGAGAAAGAGAAGAGGGCCAAGGACACTTTCCTGTGGGACACAGGGGTCATTATATTTATGTTTTATTGTAGAAGAAGTAATTTGATGAGTATATGCAGTAGTTGACATAAATTGAATGCCATAAAATTACTAATAAATATTAGGGACAAGAGTGTGTAGAGATACAAGAGAATAAGACAAAATTTGTCATCTTACCTCTGTGGGAGATGGCTGGTGTGTAAAAAAAAAGTCAAAATGGAGGTATTTTTGCGTTTGGAATGAACAGGGATTAATTTTAAGATGTACTGAGGTGGATAGCAACAGAGCATATCAGAGCATGTTAGATAAGAGTGAATGGACACGAATGGTTTTTGGGACCTGATGAGCTGTTGGAGTGTGAGCAGGGTAATATTTTGTGAAGAGATTCAGGGCAACCAGTTAGCCAGACTTGAGCCCTGGAAATGGGAAGTACAGTTCCTGCACTTTAAAGGAGGGGTTTGGGATATTGGCAGTTTGGAGGGATTTCTGAAATGTCGTATCTGAGCACCTCTGCAAAGACAGTGATTATGTATGAGTGAGGTGAAAGTGTTGAATGATGATGAAAGTATTTTCTTTTTGGGGATTTTCTTTCTTTTTGGGTCACCCTACCTCTGTGGGAGATAACCGATGTGTTAAAAAAGAAAAAAGAAAGAAAAAAATATTTCAGTTCGTATATGAAGAAATTAACCATTTTTTCTTTTAAGGAATTTTTAAATGGTCAGTTTTATTTATACAGAATTCATCCTGAGACTTGCCCCAAATAGTGAGCAAAGCTAATGGTATTCGCAAATTGTTGACCATAATTAGGTCACATTTTGATTATGTGAGGTACCGTACTATAACTTTTGACATGTAAGGAGATCAGAGTGTAGGTATTTATTTGTAATGTTTCTAAATTCAATAATTGATGAGATATATGGGTAAGAATTTGCATCCTCCAGGCTGGCTTGGAGCAAATTCTGTTTGCACCAGTGGGTATTTCGCAGTTCTTCCTGGGCATCACCATACTGGAGGGCCAGCCATGGGCTAAGTGTGTGCAGGAGTGGAGGGAGAAACTCATACCTACTTGGAAGGTACAGTTCTTTGTCATCCCGTCCATTGTATCATAAAGGATGTACTTAGTGATATATGAGTACTGAGCATACAGTAGTGTTAATAATTAAAATGTAAGAATTAATAAGATAATCATTGTAGATAATGCTTTAGTACAAGAGTAATAGGCTAACTTTTGTTAGTCTATTACCCCTGTATTTTTAATACAGTACAGTACAATAATAAAACAACATTTGCAATATTTAGGATTTTGGTCTGAACCTGAACAGAGTATGTACTAAAAAAATGGACATTATTAAATATGACATTTTCTGCAGTAGCATAATGTCCATGCATTGATATTCAAATTATTCTGAGTGTTGTGTATGTAGCAGAATGAGATATATATTATGACTTAAAATTTCTTTATAAGTTTTTATTGATAAATAAGTGAAGACAGTACCATTATCATCACTATTTATGTTTCTCGCTTTTGTTTCCATAAGGCACTTGTCTAGTGAAGAGAGTTAAAGTATTTTTTTGTATTGTTTTCAATAGTCTGAGATTTAAATGTACTTTTTCATTTCCAGTGGTACCCCAGAAGTGATGGAGTGCCCCTTCCATCACTTCTGGGGTTAATAAATTACATATTTGTCAGTCTCTCTAGACAGGTACCATGTGATAGGCTCTCTGTGGTCGTCTCTTTTTTTTCTATTTTCTTTTGTATCATCACTTTGCTTCATCTCTGGAAATTAATCATGGCACCCAAAAGGAATAAAAATGGTGATGGAGGTGCCAAGAAGAGAATTAGGTGTGAAACTCTTACAATTTCTCAGCAAGAGTAGAGGTGGGTGATTATGGTGGTGGCGGTGGTGGTGGTTATGGCTGGTATGTTGCTACAGCTCGTGTTAACATAATTACACTATACTTACAGTATAACCCTTGTTTACCTAGCCTAGCTGCATTGTTGAATATCTTGGCGATAAAAATAAAGTGTGAACAAGTTACTAAGAGAAACTGTGTAGTTTAATGTAGTGAAGACAGAGGCCACAGGTAGTCATTTTGGTTGATAAGAGCTACATCAACTATATCTACACATTTCTGTACCAATAAAGACAAGGAGTAAGGAATGGAAGGTAAGATAAAGCTATTTCTTTACTCTTTACTCTATTTCAAACAAGAATTTGTGTAACGCATCAACTGTTGGATGTTGTGTGGGCCATACATGCTCATGCTTCCTATTTTCTGTGGAAAGAATATGTTGTCTCAGTTAATAAGTTCTGTTGAATTGAAAAAGGCACTGGTTGATGAAATCTCAAAATAAAGGTATCTAAGTGTTGTACTTTTGTCTAATTCATCAACCTCTTGTTTTTTATACCAATAATATTATGATAGAAATCAACTCTTATAATTGAGTCAACAACTTACTTTCCCCAGGCCTTAGAAAAGTAGGTGCGATGAACACAACCCTATTTTTTACATGTTTTTCAGTCCATAAGTTGCGGAATCCATTGGTAGAGCAGTTTTCAGGAGCAAAACCCCCTCACAAATTATGAATGTTTTCTGTATATTTGAATATTACTAGAGTATAAATAATGTGCTGTATAAATACTAAAATATAATAAATACTGTATATTCAGAATGATTCTCATTCTTTTGTACATACTTATTTTACCCATTCCCTTCAGACTGGTGTCTGCATCTGGCCAGTGTTACAAACTGTCAACTTTGCATATGTTGCGGAGAAGAATCGTGTAGTTGTTGTCTCCATAGCATCATTTATGTGGACCATCTTCCTCTCGTACATGCACCGTCTGGACCAGAATTCTCTTCCACAGTTCTTGCAGAGGAAATCCAAAGTCAATAATGCACAAAGTAAGGCTCCCTGCGATGCTGTATCTGACATCTCTCCTCATAAGTATTGGAATGGTAACACCAATGAGGTTTTATGACAGTGGAAGTAAGTCCACAGTCATGAAGATATGCCAGCATAAGATGATATTCACACTGCGATGTAAGTCCTCGGTATGGCCAGTGTCACACTCAGTCTCTTATTATTTCACTGTGTTATTATCATTATTATTACAGTAGTACCTGTATTAGAAGCAGCAGCAGTTACAGCAAAAGTAATTGTATGAGTGGTACTGCAGCACAGTAGATCATTGATTATCTGCAAATGATTTTTCGGCATTTAATGTTATCCGGTGGTCTTGTTTGCTCTGGCACCTACACGGATAATGGTAAAAAGGAATGTGTAACAAAAAGGATTATTAAACAAAAAGTGATCATCTGATAAATGTAGTCGAAAATCCTTTGTTCCTTCATCCCCGAGAATGCTGGATAATCGGTGATCTTTTGTCCTAGCAGTAGTACTGTAGTAGTAGTATTTACTATAATAATAGTACTGGGGTAATAGTAGTAGTAGTATGATAGTACTGTACTGGTACAGTATTATAGTTATGTTAGCCATTTTTAATACAATTTTATTGAACTGTATGTTATAATTATTTTATTATTATTATTATTATTATTATTGTTGTTTTTATTTATTATTACTATCATCAGTAATAATAATAATAATAACAGCAGTAAAAATATAGTATACAGTGTAATTGTTGTTTGCCAAACTACAAATAAAAGTCAAACTGGAGACCATTTTCTGTGCAATATTTCTGGTAAAGTTTCAACTACATTTAATTACAGTAATAGAATTAGTTGTAAAGTTTTATGGGTAATAAGTGTTTGATATTTACAACACTATACAGAAAACAAAACCAGAGCACTATAGCAAAGAATGCATTAGGGAAATATAAATCAAATCCCTTTAACCTGTAAGTTAAGAAGACAAAACCTATGTTGGTGGACAAGCTTTTGTTGTGACAGTGTTCTGCTCTATGTAAAGCTTTGTCAAGTCATGATTTGATAACATTTGCTGTGTCTTTCTACTATGCTTGTTGCCAGTACCTGTCACACGACAACTTATAAGAGGTCCAGTTATACACAACAAAGAATTATAAATAATAATAGCAATACTGGGTAGTTTTAGTTACATTTTGAGTTTAGTTATAATATAGTAGCAAAGTAACCTAAATTTAAAATCATTATTTAGTGAAAGGATTTTAATTTTGATGGATGAATACTTTAACTAATTAACCTTGTAAAAATAAATCCACAGATTTATTGTGTGTTAGGTAAATACACTAGAGTACATGGGGTACTATGTATGTGGATTATAGTACAGGTAAATACACTAGAGTACATGGGGTACTATGTATGTGGATTATAGTACAGGTAAATACACTAGAGTACATGGGGTACTATGTATGTGGATTATAGTACAGGAAGAGAAGAGTCATGTTAAGGGTAGTCCTTGACTTATGATGGGGTTACATTCAAATAAACCCATTGTAAGTTGAAAATGATATGCTAAATAAATAAGTAAATAAATAACTAGTCATTGAATAAGTAAATAAACAAATAATTACTCTAATTAACTAAATACCAATATTGAAAAGTAAAACATTGTATGCTAGTTAGGAACTTGCCACCTTCATGCTGGGTAATTATCTTAAGTTTCATCTCCAAAGTAATTACTTTTGCACCAGAAGTCAAAATATTGTAAATCAAGGAGCACCTGTAGTTGCACCTGTGTCTACTTGCCTAAGAGGAAGAGAAGAGTCACTGGAGAAAGTGGTTTGAATAATTCTTGTAATTTTGAGCTGTGTGCATGAAGCATAATTGAAGGAGCATGTGATGTGACTTTTTTTTTTTTTTTATTAAAATTTCTTACAGAAGTCATTACAGTCACAGAGATGCTTTGCTGGGGTCATGCGCTAATGCCTGCATAGTGCATGGCAGGCCATTATTTGAAGTTAATGTAATACAGGCATGCCTCACTTATACAGCAGATTAGGTTCTAGGCTGCTGCTGTAAAGTGAATATCACCTTAAAGTGAATCACAGTCTTTTTCACTTGCCCGTACATATAAAAGCCTAAAAACATGTTTACACTATCACTTGTTAAGAGCATAATACCACTAGGCCTAAAATAACGATGCAAAAGTAAAATTAATATATATTTTTTAAATTTGCTGAAAACCATCTTAAGAGCAAGACAAGTGCTGAAAATAACGAACATAAGTATAATTGAAAAGCGCCATATAAGCGAAGTGCTGCAAAGTGAGTGTTGTATTAACAAGGTAGATGTACCTGTATATAAAAGCATAACTGAAAGTACATTAGAATAAAAGTGATAATGGCCAGAGAATTCCTTTTTATTAGGTATATGTACTTGTATTGAAAATTTCTGGCATCTTTTTCTCTTGTAGTCTTAATTGAGCACATTCATCATTGTTCCTTGATAACTCTGTGTAAAGTTGAAGAAAATATAGTCTCCCCCTCTATAGTTTAAGTTTTGTTACTGGTTATAAAGAAAGTACCAAATTTTCATACAATGAGAACTTGATATGTTAGCTTGTCTCCTGAAGAATTTCATCTTTAAGAATTTCAAATAATTTTATTTTCATTAAAGTAGTATGACACCAAGTTTTTTGTTTTTGTTTCAGTTTCTCATTAAGTTGCCCAGGCCTTGTTTTTACATTTAATTATCTTGGCCTTGCCTGTACTGTATGTTAAGTTGCCCTGGCCTGTCTGTATTCTCATCCTCGCCCCTTCATGAGATGGTACGAGTCAGGGCTGAGGATGGATCTGCCGGTATCATGTAAGTAATACTCATGCTGTGTAGACTGAGAAATTTACTCAGGGTTGACAATTTTATGTATTTTTCAAGAACTTGACCGCTGTTTAATGGTTTACATATTATAAAACTTGAAATTTAAGGCATTGAAGAAGACAGTAAACTGTACACTAGAAACTATCAAACATTTCCTAGAAAAGTGTCCTCAGCACACAAATTCAGAGTCATTGCATGCAAGAGTTGAATATAAAAGTTTATAGTCTGTACAAAACATGTACCCCTGAGAAAGAGCAAAAAAAAAATTAACTGAAAGGCAATACATACAGACATTATAGAAGAAATGGTTACAGACATTACTAATGCTTTAATGGGGCATTTAATTAATGCAGATTATTTTAACCAGGTATGATAGTATTTATGTGTGTTGAGTGTTTGTTTATTGATTTTACTGTTATATTCTTTGTTTTTATTATGTGTGTGTGTTGCATATATTTTTTATGGCTCTGACTGCTGAGTAACCTTCTACCACAGTAGTACTTCCTTTAGTATAGGCACACCCTGTCAGAGGCGGACTGGCCATACGGGCATTTGGGCAATGCTCAGTGGGCTGCTGGGCTGGGTGAAAAAAAAAATGAAAAAGATGTCACAAAAAACTGAAGTCATAGTTGCTGCACAAAGATTGAAACAAAAATGGAACACGCCTTAGCTGAGTCGTGAAAACATGCCTCTGGCCCTCAGCAGTTAATGAGCCAACCTGATAGGTGATGGATGCCTGCGCTGGTTTTATGACCAAGTCCGCTTCTGCTCCCTGTACTCTGTGTCATGGAGAGAGCCAAGTCAGTTTAGATGCTAAAGATCCTAGAAACTACAGCCACAGCATTAGATTAATTCTATGGAAAACTATAAGCCTTATGCATTAGCATCACTCACATGAAAGCCATTAAAAATCATTCGAAGTGAATTTACCAGTTTTATGAGGACATATACAGTAAGCCTTATACCCCAAGCCATCATTGGGTTAAACTAGGAAAATTATTATATATCTCCCAGTTACTTAACACTATGATAAAATCACCAAGGAGCCAGAGAACAAAAATACAGTTGTGTAATATTCATGGATTTTACAAAATCATATAACAGATATGACCATGGAGTGATGGTTTATAAAGTGAGATCAAAAGGAATAACAGCTATAAGGTAGGAAGTGAATTTACAGATTTCTAACAGATCAAATTTCTAATAGATTTCAGTTCTGCCAGGTACTATCTCTATCTTTACTAGGTAGAATACCCTGAGAAATTATAATCAGATGTTAAAAAACAAACAAAATGTAGTTCATATGTAATAAAATATTTTTTTTATTTTTTTTTTATTAGCACACTGGCCGATTTCCACCAAGGCAGGGTGGCCCGAAAAAGATAAACTTTCACCATCATTCACTCCATCACTGTCTCACATCATCTCCACGTTTCAGTCTTTCATTATGTCATAGAAAAACATTATGTTCAACATTTAGAAATTCCAGTGAAGGTACCTTATCAGCCAGGTTGTAATGGCAGCAAGAGCTGGGCTAATCAGTTAAGCTTGGTCTCAGGTTAAGCTGCAAGAGTAGAAAAACTCTTGAAACAGGTCACATTTTTGATCTTGCTTGTGCACTGTGTGCTCTGTTCTTGTATAGTATTTCAGATTTCTAGATGTATTGAGGAGAAACCACATAATCAGTCACATCTTGGTATTTTTCAGTGTAAAGTCACAAGTGTATGTCAACTAATAGTGAGATAGCAGTTTCACATTATCTGAAAAATAGATAATCTCTATATAATCTTGATATTAAGTATTTCTCAGTGTGTACCTGTAAAGCTTAATTACAGTATTTCTTGTATACCTGTATAAGGTTTAAATATATCTGTGTAAACTTGCAAGGTTCGCTACAATTGGTCTTGTACCATTTATAACAAACACACTTGTACTTGTGGGAAGCTGGAGAATCATGCTTGTATCTCATGCAATGTTAATGCACGGTTGGAAATGTATTTTGATGACTGTACATTTAAAAAAATGATTTAAGAGTTGAACATAATATTTTAAAAATAAAGGATGCAACAAACCATACCGGCGATTGAACCGCGTCATAGTTCTCAAACTCAGTCCTTCGCGCTAGCCACTAACCACTACACAATAAGATCTTATCACTATGTATTATTTCTACACCATAAAGTGCAAGCACCTGGCGTGCTTAACCTATGTGAGAAATAACCTATGGATGAATCTTTTGTGGCTAGCTGGCTAGTGGCTATCGCGACGGCTGAGTTTTTGAGACATGACCGCGGTTCATCCCGCCGGTATGGTTTATTTGCAATCGTTTCATACATTTCTTAAGTCAATAAGGATCAATATAAACATAATTTTATTTCACTAATTCTTCCACCAGATTAAAACTATCTGCTCTTATTCAATTATTGATGTATTAATACAATGCAGCAGCATCTAACAATGCAGAACAAACCACATGGGGATGGAAATCTTTAGTTCTAGATCTTTTGCACTCAGTTGCATCATCAGGAGCTATGTAGTGTTGGAAGACAGTCTTCTGCCTTGCCTCAGAGACTTTCCCCACCTATCTGTACAGGAGAGTAAAATCACTGATACAAGGCAGAAGATATCAGTGGCAGCCCATGTAAGGACACCATGGTTAATACTCTCTACGTATTTACAATTTATTTTATTTTATTTCCAATTTGAGCACACATACAGAGGTACAAAAAAATACAGATAAGAGCAGCATGCCAAAGCCACTTATACTATGCATAGCATTACGGGCTGGCTTAAAATTAACTTAAGATTAACTAAGCACAAGTGAGTATTACAATCTATGTAATATGCACTAATTTTATATACTCTACATATTTATGGGAAGCACTAAACCCATAAAAGTTATAATGTGCTACTATTTACAATATATACCAGGGATCTGTTAACATATTTGTAATTATTTGTTTGTAGCTACAGGAACTGAGCTAATTTATCATGTAAAATTTTTAATTGCAGTAATGTAATGCTTGCTAAGTCTTTTTGTATCCATTGATCCAAGGAACTGGATATATCCAGCCCTTCCTTGGATCAGTCCCGTATACCTTCCAGTTCCCAAGCACTATATGACCCTTATGGGTTTAGAGCTAACCCAATGGAAATAAATAAATCTGAATGATGACCTGCTAGTGGTTGTCTTGATTTTTTCTGCCTCCCATTTTTGTATTCATTCGCTCATAACTCAAGAATCCATCATTCTGTCAGATTCAAATTTTGAACACATGCATGGTAATAAGGACCAAATTCTGAGAACAGTTGACCTGTGACCAGAGTTACTAAACCCATTCCCATCATTTTGTAATAGTTCAAATAACTTTAAAAAATTCTTTGCGGCACAGCTTTATACATTCAGTAAAGCTGCCTCCTAACTGGACTACAGTGGAGAGTGAAATTCGAGTGTGTAGGTGTAGTGTTGACCATTTATGTGTGAGATTTTGATTCCAGTTTAATTGTTAAAGTCAAAATATATGTATCTTAGTCTTGTGAATGGCTTCGGTATTCAGTGGGTGACATCTTATGACCAGAATAGTGCCCATTCAGTTTAGTTTCTGTATGAGCACATTTGTCAGTGCACTTAAAACTTTGCACCTGAATTTTCATCAAATAGGACTATCTTAAAAAACACAAGATAATGTTTTTCTACAGGATTGTAGAGAATTTTGAAACTTATACAATTTAATTTTTTTTTTAAATACAGCCTTTCCTCACTTAGTGACGTACTTGTTTACCGATGCCTCGGACTTACGACGGGCTCTCTGACCAGTATTCATTCCTAAATAATGTATATTTGAGCTGATTTCCTCTATTCTGTTTATTTCAGTATACAGTACACTATAAACATTTAAATATATACCAGAAATGTTATAAATGGTACAGAGGTGGCATTAAAACAGTATCAGTGATGGTTGACACAAACTCACTACCATTATAGTATTCTCCTCACTTAGCGATGAATTCGTTTAATGATGTGGTCTTAGGAACAGAACTCCATCATTAAGTGAGTAGAGGCTGTATTTTAATAAACACAATAGAGGAAATCAGCTTTAATGTACATTATTTAGGTATGCATACTGGTCAGAGAGCCTGTCATAAGTCTGAGTCGTCAGTTGTTGGCTGTATGCATATACTTAAATTTTTTAACATGTTGGCCATCTCCCACCAAGGCAGGGTGACCCAAAAAGATAGAAAAACCCAAAAAGAAAGAAAAAACTCATCATCATTCAACACTTTCACCATCACTCATGCATAATCACTGTCTTTGCAGAGATGCCCAGATATGACATTTCAGATGTCCCTCCACACTGCCAATACGTATCCCATACCCCTCCTTTAAAGTGCAGGTATTGTACTTGCCATTTCCAGGACTCAAGTCCGGCTAACCGGTTTTCCTGAATCCCTTCACAAAATATTACCCTGCTCACACTCCAACAGCTCATCTCCATTCACTCCTACCTAACACACTCATGGACACTTGCTGGAAGTCCAAGCCCCTCGCCCACAAAACTTCCTTTACTCCCTCCCTCCAACCTTTTTGGGGCTGACCCCTACCCTGCCTTCCTTTCCCTACAGATTTATACACTCTCCAAGTTATTCTGCTTTGTTCCATTCTCTCTAAATGACCAAACCATCTCAACAGCCCCTCTTCAGCCCTCTGACTAATACTTTTAGTAAGTCTACACCTCCTCCTAATTTCCACACTACGAATCCTCTGCATAATATTTGCACCACACATTGCCCTTAGACAGGACTTTTCCACTGCCCCCAGTCACCTTTTTGCTGTAGCATTTACAACCCAAGCTTCACACTCATGTAAGAGTGTTGGTACCACTATACTCTCTAACATTCCCTCCTTTGCCTCCATGGATAATGTTTTTTGTCTCCACAGATACCTCAGCGCACCACTCACCTTTTTTCCTTCATCAGTTCTACAGTTAACCTCATCCAAATATCTGAAAACATTCACTTCTTCCATACCCCACATCCTCCAATGTGATATCCAATTTTTCTTTATCTAAGTTGTTTGATACCCTAATTACCTTACTTTTATCAATGTTCACTTTCAACTTTCTACCTTTATATAGGTAAATGCAGATGCAGTGATATCAATAAAAAGCTCGAATGTGGAAAACGTGTTTTGAGTCGGAAACCTTAATGACGTCTGAAGCTGAATCGTTGCTTATTTTTGTGAATGCAATAATATACTTTATATGCAAGTTTTAATTTAGGAAATAATGAACACAGCCCATTTACAAAAAAGTTTTATTGCTTAAAACTATAAAATATACATCTTAAATAATGGGTGAGGACTTAACAGTGACTATGGAAGTATTAGGCCTAGTGAGGTATGGGGTCCAGCAGACCAGCTGACCGGGACCACAACCAGACCAGAGAATAAATTATGAGTGGCCATGGAGGAGGGTGGCCAGAGGCTGGTTCTTGTGCCTTGTGTGACACATCCAGCTGGGCATCAACCAGAGGTTGGCACAGCCAACTGGGCATTAACCAGAGTCTGGTTGATGCCCAGCTGGCTGGGCATCAGCCTGCCTCTGGTGGGGGTGTGAGAGGATGAAACATCGCATAGGGAAACAGAACCTGAACTGAGGATTAATTTATTTTGGTGAAGGAAGTGACTGAACACTGAGGAGCTGCTCAGCTCTAAAGGAGTTACAGCTACACTACTGCTAAACTGTACAGTATATCAGTGTCTTTTATGGACTGACTCACACTAACCTGATTTATTCTTGGTTGATCAACTTTAACCTGAAGTGACCTAGCTCTAACCTGATGTAGCATTGTCTAGCTTGACCTAGCATATAGCTTGACCTAGCATATAGCTTGACCTAGCATATAGCTTGATCTAGCCTGATTTAGCATATAGCTTGATCTAGCCTGACCTAGCATATAGCCTGACCTAGCCTGATCTGCCCTGATCTAGCATTATCCAGCTTGGTCTAGCATTAGCTGGCATGTCACGGTTTGAGAGAGCTTGATCTAACTTAATGAAATACCATACAATGAACAACACTGATGGCTTGTCAAATATGATTGTGACCTTAATGGCTTGAGTGGATGAAGAGACGAAGAGGAGTGACTTATAAAAATGTCTTCATATGAAGACAACATTCAATTCTTTGACCCTGGAGGAGCTGAGGGACACTGACCCAAGAAGAGCTGAGGGACACTCTGACCCTGGAGGAGCTGAGGGACACTGACCCAAGAAGAGCTGAGGGACACTCTGACCCTGGAGGAGCTGAGGGACACTCTGACCCTGGAGGAGCTGAGGGACACTGACCATGGAGGAGCTGAGGGACACTGGCCCTGGAGGAACTGAGGGACACTGGCCCTGGAGGAGCTGAGTGACACTGTTCCTGTAGGAGCTGAGGGACACTCTGGCCCTGGAGGAGCTGAGGGGACAATGGGATTGAGAACCTGGACTCAGGCTTCAGACAATTGGTACAATGAGAAATGTATGTGAAATGAAAGATTAATTAGTGGCAAATGCAGAAGAAATTTAAGGGATGGTATAGTGGAGGTTTCAGGAATATAAGATTACTAGGCTGGATTCATGACAACTTCAGGGTAAGGCAGCTCGGCGCTTTCTTAGCCCATTGGCCTTAACACAGCGCTGGTAACCACGGAAGCAAATGACAGGGTCAGAAGAACGAATTTCTGTGATGGTGGACTCTCCAAGGATCTTGGGTCCTGTCCGAGATAATTTCTTGTCAGAGGAGCCCAGTGTCTTTTTGGATATGCTCTGAAGACGGGCATACAGGGGTCGTATAGAGGCAGGTCGAGGTCTGGTGGTAGTGGTGGTTATAGAGGCAGCTGTGACAGTGGTAGTATTGAACAAGGTGAAGGGGGTGGGAACTGTGGTATGCACTGAGGTTAATGTGGTGATTGGGTCTTGTGTGGTCAATACTAGGTATTCGTCTAATGCACCCAGCTCTGTTGTGTCTTCATACTGTGGAGGAGGTTCTGAGACAAGCTCAGTCACTTCCTCTAATAGCAGAGGATCTGTAGTTGTTCCCTCTGTAGTTGCCTCATCTACCAGGTCTTCAGCTACCACCTCACTCACTGGCACAGTGCTGAGGGCTTCCTCTGTGGTGTCATCTGGATCCTGACTCGTCACCTCCTCCTCAATAATTTCAATAGCTGGTGTGGTCGTCTCCTCCAACAGGTACTCGGTGACAGGGACAGCAAAGGCGACCTGGGCACTGCTGCCACCAAAGTCTTGGTCCACTCCTGGGGCAGAGCGGTCGTCAAAGGGGTCGTACTCATAGTTGTCGTAGTTCTGTGACTCGCCTGAGGAGAGAGCAGTGAAGTAGTCGTTAGGGAAAAGTGATAATACCTCTGGAGGTTCGGTGCTGTAGAGATGGTAGGAGGAGTCCCCTTCCTCTCTCCAAATCTCAATATCCCCCCCAACCTTCCCAGAATCCAAACTACTATGTTTGCTAATATCATCATCAACACTACTTGCCTGCTCTGTCGCCCACTCTACTACATACTCTACTGGTGAGTCAGTGTCGGGGTGGTCCATCGTCTCGTCTGGGGACACTCCTGTAAGCTCTAACTTATTCTTTCTGCCGTTTACTACTTGGGTGAGCGTCTCCTCTATGGGGTGACTTGTTGTTGGTTCCTCACTAAGGAAGGTTGTAGAGACGCTATTGTGTGTGTGCAACCATATTGGGGAATTGGCAATGCGTTCAGCTGTTGTTGAAGGGATAGTAGGGATGGCAGTAGTGGTAATTGAGGTAATGGTTGCATTGGTGGCAATGAGAGAAGAGGTGTTGGCAACTAGGGAAGTGGGAGTGGTGGCACTGATGTTAAGGGTGGTGGGGGCATTAGTGGTGTGTTGGATAAACCATGAGTGAGAAAGTGAGATGGCAGGCCTAAAAGGGCGGTCAGGGGAGTGAAGTGTCTGGGCTGGGTCTTCAAAGTCGTTCAGGTACTCAGGCTGCTTTGATACATACTCTGTGAATTGTTGAGAGTCTGTCTTCTGGGCACCATCATGTACCGAGATCACCTCTGACTCAGGCACAGTCTCTGAGTCAACCACACCAGGCTCCACAACTGTGTCATACTTGGGAATAACAGTGGCCTCAGAAGCTGCAGTGTGCTCAAGCACAGTATCAGGCTTGGATACGCCATCAGGTTCGGGTACAGCCTCAAGACCATCAGGCTCGGGCACAGCATCAGGTTCAGGCACAGCACTGGGCTCAGGCACAGCATCGATGTCCGTAGTGTCATAATCTTCATATGAGGTCACTGGGTTGTAGTCACTAAAAGCTTCCGTTGAAGCTATTACGGACTCAGGAGGCGACTGGTTTGCTGTAGACAAGTTTTCTTCTATTCTGTGAATATTGTCTTCATGAAGAACATCTGCAGAATCCTCTTCTGCTAAAGTATCTTCAGTAGCCACCAGAGCCTCTTCAGGCTCTTTCTCTTTTCTTAGGTCAACAGCCTCCTCAATTGCCTTCTCTGCCTCTTTTGAGCTAAAGGAGTTTAGTACTTCATTTTCTGGCGGACTACTGAACACTACAAGAGTAGATTCAGCCCCACTAAAACCATTATTTTGTAGCACATCTAGAGGCACGTCCTCTTCAAGTGCCTCATCCGCCACAGATAGATGTCCGCGACTTCGAGTTCTTTGGCGAGCCTTAAGCCATTCTGGGAGTTCCCGAACTCGGTTGGTGGAAACAGTGCGGGCCCTGGTGCCACTTAAATTTCTCACTCTGTTGACAGGCAAAGAACTTTGCCGTGAGCGAGATGGTTGAGTAACTGTCTCTGGGTCATCTTCAGCACCTGTACTATGTATTGGACGCCTCGTTCGAGGCCGAAGGCGCCTACCAAAGGTTCCTGCGGAAGGAACTGTTACACCTCCCGATCCTGCATCAATTTCACTGTTGTCAATGTTTTCCTTTTCAACGCGGAGGGGGTTGAGTGTGCGTGCAACAGAAAATGGAGGGAAGAGGGTCGCAGTCTCTGGCTTTTTCTGACCACTGCTCTCCTTTTTAGTGACATCTGCTGTATCTTTTTTGTTATCATTATTAATCTCCTTCGTCTCACCTGGCCTTGGTCTTCTCCTGATGAATGGGCGTCTATTAAAGTTGAATTTAGGCTTAAATGTTGTAACCTTGATAGTGGAGGTAGTGGAAGTGGGTGTTGTGAGTACTGGGGTGGTCAGTTCTGGTGTGAAGTCATCTGTATTGTTTTCTTGAAACACTGGGACAGTCTGATCTTCCTCCGGAGGCTTGGTGGTGATTCGCGGCCGCTGGAAGGGTGGGAGGCTTGGAAGGCGAGGACGCACAGAGTCCTTGAACAAAGGCACAGTTGGCCCTAGGAAGGGTGGAGTCTGAGATGTTGGGAAGAATGTGGCTTGAGAGCTCTGGGGTCTTGTAAATGGTGGAGTATTTAGAGGTTGGGAATTCTGAAATGGTGGAATTGTTGGTGCCTCTAATTCTTGAAATGATGGAACCGAAGAAACATGAGGTTCCTGGAGCGATGGAATTTGTGGTTCTTGTGTATTTGATAGGTCTGGGAAATGTGGTCTTTGTGCCTGGAAGTCTATGGTCTGATGGAAAGCAGGTCTTGGAGACGTGCCGAAAGGTGAGAAGGTATTCAAGGGGCTAGGTCTTGGAGAGGACACTGGCTGGGGTCTTGGGGAAGAATCTTCCAAAGAAAATCCAGGAATTGGTCTTGGGGAGAACTGGGGAGAATGGGTGACCGGGAATGGGCTCTGAGAAGACTGTCTAGTGAAAGACACTGGGGTTGGCCTAGGGCTTATTGACTCTGTGGTTGTCAGTGTGGTGAGGCTCAGAGGGTCTTCAGGGGTTGTAAAGACGGGCCTGGGCGTCAGCTTTGGGACAGGTGTAATGGGCGCTGATCTTGGGGTGGTCTGCAGGTGAGGTCTGGAAGGCCGAGATATCAACTGTGGACGTGGGGTGGAACTTGTGGTGATTTGTGGGGCTGCCGATGAAGTGGTGAAGGGTCTCGGGGTGTGAAGGTGAGGGACAGGTGAAGGATTGGTGGACGGAGGGAAGAGAGAACCTGCAGAGGTGCTCTTAGGTTGGCTGACGCGAGGGGGGAAGTCATGACTGGGACGGAAGTTATCGTCAGTGCCTGGGAAGTCTGGCCTTATGGTGGGTTGTATTGATCTGAAGATGTTTTGGTCAGGCTCTGGCCGTGGTGAGGCCACTGGTTGTCTGTGCTGTGGGAAGCGTTCTTCAGGCTGCGGGGAGTGCTCTTCAGGCTGCGGGAAGTGCTCATCAGGCTGTGGGAAGTGTTCTTTAGGGCGCGGGAAGCGTTCTTCAGATTGTGGGAAGCGTTGTCCGTGCTGTGGTAATGGTTTATCAGGTCGAGGAGAGGTTTGATCCTGTTGTGGGAAGGGCTGGCCAGGTTGTGGGAAAGGCTGACTGGACTGTAAGAAGGGCTGGTCAGGTTGTGGGAAGAGGTGATCAGGCCTAGGGGAGGTTTGGCTGTGCTGTGGGAAGAGGTGATCAGGTCTTGGGGAGGTTTGGCTGTGCTGTGGGAAGAGATGATCAGGTCTAGGGGAGGTTTGGCTGTGCTGTGGGAAGAGGTGATCAGGTCTTGGGGAGGTTTGGCTGTGCTGTGGGAAGAGATGATCAGGTCTAGGGGAGGTTTGGCTGTGCTGTGGGAAGAGGTGATCAGGTCTTGGGGAGGTTTGGCTGTGCTGTGGGAAGAGGTGATCAGGTCTAGGGGAAGTTTGACTGGGCTGTGGGAAGAGCTGATCAGGTCTAGGGGAAGTTTGACTGGGCTGTGGGAAGAGCTGACCATGTTGCGGGAAGGACTGGCCAGGATGTGAGAAGGGCTTGCTGGGTTGGTGGAAAGGTTGGCTAGACTGTGGAAAGGGTTGACTGGGTTGAGGGAAGGTGTGATCAGGTTTAGGAGAGGACTGGTCCAGCTGTTGTTCTTCAGGCTCGTTTAAGGATTGGTTGGGCTGCAGAAAATGCTGACGAGGTCGAAGGGAGGCTGGGCCAGGTTTGGGGAAAGTCAGGTCAGGTTGGGTGGAATGAGGGAAGAGCTGGTTGGGCCGAGGGAAAGCTTGGTTGACTTGGTGTTCCTGTTGACTGGTTCGGAGAAAGGTCTGTGACTGACCGAACTGAGGAAAGGTCTGACTAGAATGAGCTATAATCTGACCTGGCTGGAGGGAGCTCTGTCCGGACTGTGGGAATGGGTGGTCAGGTTGTGGGAATGGCTGGCCAGACTGTGGGAATGGTTGATCAGGCTGTGAGAATGACTGACCAGGTTGTGGGAAGGGTTGGTCAGGTTGTGGGAATAGTTGGCCAGACTGCGGGAAGGGTTGTTCAGGTTGTGGAAATAGTTGGCCAGATTGTGGGAAAGGTTGGTCAGGCTGTAGGAATGGCTGACCAGGTTGTGGGAAGAGTTGGCTGGGTGAAGAGGTGGTGCTGGTAGACGAGTGTTGGGGAAGGAAAGAATGAGGGGTGGAGGTGGGCCGAGGAGTGGTACTGGGAAACTGGTGATGAGGGAGAGGGCTTGGGGAGGTAGGCTTGGGTTCACTTCTGGGGATGACCTGGACAGGTGGATGACGGAAAGGCAGATGTTTTCTCGTGCGGACGTCCTCACTGTTTAAGTTAAGGGAGGTTGGTGGATGGTTCAGTCTTGGATCTGGGGTGACTGTGGGCAGGAAGGCAGGATGACCCAGCGCCAGGTTAGATCCCAGTTGTGAGTTGGGCACCACGACGGGGATGCTCCGTGACAGATGACTCACGCCCTCGGAAAGGCCGAACTTGATAAATCCCGGTGGAGGATTGCGGTCATCGGAGGTGAGAAAGGTCTCAGGAAGCGGCGACTTCCCATTCTGGATGTTGGAGTTTCCAGGTCCTCCCTGAGGCACCAGCGGGATCTTGACATAACCAGGCGGGGGAGCTACATTGGACGGGGCAATGAACACCCTGGGAAGGCGACCATCGTCCTTGGGGGCAGAGCCTGGGGATGATGAGGCAGAGAGGGCAGCCTCCAGCAGACGCAGTTTCTCCAGGGCATCCTTCTCCTGCTCGCGAGTGGTGACCAGAGACATGACCACGGAGTTGGTCACCCCACCCGCTACCACACGCCCGTTGTGGTCCCGCTTCTGCTTGTCAGAGAACTCGATGCTCTGGACAGCTTCTGGTGAAGGAGGAAGTGGCACATCCTCTACAGTGCCAGCTTGGTGGAGAGGCACAGGTGATGTGGGTGTGATACGGGCGGCCTTGGCGGAGTTAAGCTGCCTGATGGAGCCTTCTGGGAGATAAACCAACTGCACCCGTCCACCCTGGTTGCTGCTGAGGCCACCCTGGTTGATGAGGCCACCTTGGTTGATGAGACCACCTTGGTTGATGAGGCCACCTTGGTTGCTGCTGAGGCCACCTTGGTTGATGAGGCCACCTTGGCTGCTGATGAGGCCACCTTGGTTGCTGATGAGGCCACCTTTGTTGATGAGGCCACCTTGGTTGATGAGACCACCTTGGTTGATGAGGCCACCTTGGTTGATGAGACCACCTTGGTTGATGAGGCCACCTTGGTTACTGCTGAGGCTACCTTGGTTGCTGATGAGGCCACCTTGGTTGATGAGGCCACCTTGGTTACTGCTGAGGCCACCTTGGTTACTGCTGAGGCCACCTTGGTTACTGCTGAGGCCACCTTGGTTACTGATGAGGCCACCTTGGATGCTGATGAGGCCACCTTGGTTACTGCTGAGGCCACCTTGGTTACTGATGAAGCCACCTTGGCCGTTGATGACGGTGGACTTGTGTTGGGGCACGAGGGAAGGTGGTGGGGAACGGGCAGGCACAAGGGCAGGCTTGCCTATGATAGGCTTGACAGACTTGACATGGGTGAGGGGGCCTGGCCTGATAACCTCAGACTGGATGAGCGGAGCCTCCTGGATGATAGTTTCAGACTGGATGATGGGAGCTTTCTGGATGATAGTGCCCGCCGAGAGGACCCGCGCCTGGCGACAGGTCGGGCAGGGTTCCAGAATGGGTTGCCATTCACTGTAATCCCACGGTATGTCTGCCGCCTCGCTCCACCATCCACATATAACTACCACCATCAACCTGCAAAGTCATATTACAATAAATTACACTGGATTTAAGTGGGACTTGCACATGAGTTAATAACAGGGCTATCAAACCTTATTCCTTAGGTAACATTGAAAATGGTTTAGGCAAATATTTTTGTTAGCGGGTTTGGGTTTGAGGTAGACCTGCTTAGTATGGGCTAGTAGGCCTGCTGCAGTGTTCCTCATTTTTCTATGAGGAGCACCATCTGTCAGACTGCAACACAATGGCATCTTGGTACAGAAGAGAAAACACCTTGGACAACTTTTTCAAGTGAGAATTATTTGATCTAAGAGGGACGTGACCTCTCAGTGGCTACATTCTCTCTACTACTACTCTGCACCTCTCCTTCCGACAGTATATAAGTCTCCACACTGTCGCTTGATCTTCAGATAGTTCCAGACTATGGAACAGGACTCTTCTCCAAACTGGGGGACTGACAACCTAAATCTATGACTTCAAGAGTGGTGGACTGATTACATCGTCTTCACATCTCTACTGCTCCTGCCTACTTTCTATACTCGACTGAAGAAGCCTACTGTGTAGGCGAAACGTTTCGGAATAAAGTTGCCTAACTGTTGCCTATGTGTCTTACCTACCAACCATCTAGAGATGTCAGCCGCCCCTGTTACTCCTGCAGCTGCGTCCAGGACAAAACCCCTTCCTTAGCAAGTTTATTTAAGCATAGGTACACATAAGTATTATCATACATAGTGTAAATTACCTAGGATAACCCCAAACAAGTCAGAGTTACTTATTTCCATTGTGGTTTTTCCTTTGAACAAATTACACCATTACTAAATGAAAGCTTGGAGTCGATTTGAAGAGCATTGCTCCAGTTACTGCACAGAATCCAACCATTCCACTGACAGCTATTTATAATTTATCTTGGGTTTATGGTCTGTGTGACTGACAGCTTCTGTAGCTGTGAGATGAAATGGTTGAGTGACACTGATACAACCACGTCACTGATACAACCATGTCACTGATACAACCATGTCACTGATACAACCATGTCACTGATACAACCATGTCACTGATACAACCATGTCACTGATACAACCATGTCACTGATACAACCATGTCACTGATACAACCATGTCACTGATACAACCACGTCACTGATACAACCATGTCACTGATACAACCATGTCACTGATACAACCATGTCACTGATACAACCATGTCACTGATACAACCACGTCACTGATACAACCATGTCACTGATACAACCATGTCACTGATACAACCATGTCACTGATACAACCATGTCACTGATACAACCACGTCACTGATACAACCATGTCACTGATACAACCATGTCACTGATACAACCACATCACTGATACAACCATGCCACTGATACAACCATGTCACTGATACAACCATGTCACTGATACAACCATGTCACTGATACAACCATGTCACTGATACAACCACGTCACTGATACAACCATGTCACTGATACAACCATGTCACTGATACAACCATGTCACTGATACAACCATGTCACTGATACAACCACATCACTGATACAACCATGTCACTGATACAACCATGTCACTGATACAACCATGTCACTGATACAACCACGTCACTGATACAACCATGTCACTGATACAACCATGTCACTGATACAACCATGTCACTGATACAACCATGTCACTGATACAACCATGTCACTGATACAACATGTCACTGATACAACCACGTCACTGATACAACCATGTCACTGATACAACCATGTCACTGATACAACCATGTCACTGATACAACCATGTCACTGATACAACCATGTCACTGATACAACCATGTCACTGATACAACCATGTCACTGATACAACCACGTCACTGATACAACCATGTCACTGATACAACCATGTCACTGATACAACCATGTCACTGATACAACCATGTCACTGATACAAACCATGTCACATGATACAACCATGTCACTGATACAACCACATCACTGATACAACCACATCACTGATACAACCATGTCACTGATACAACCATGTCACTGATACAACCATGTCACTGATACAACCACGTCACTGATACAACCATGTCACTGATACAACCACATCACTGATACAACCACATCACTGATACAACCATGTCACTGATACAACCATGTCACTGATACAACCACATCACTGATACAACCACATCACTGATACAACCATGTCACTGATACAACCACATCACTGATACAACCACATCACTGATACAACCATGCCACTGATACAACCACGTCACAGAAGTAACACTTGTAAAAATGATCCTATTATAAGCCCCGTGGTCAAGTATTTACAAGATACGGCTGCTACACACAAACTCTTCCACACTTAAGAGGCGCCAGTCTACCACCCTGAAGGAGCTCCCAGAGAAAAACAATGGTGTAGATGCAAGTTGATCATTACAAATACTGAGATATGTAAGAAGTTGTAATAAATGTGAAATGTCCAGGTGTAATGGTGGCCCCAACAACGTCTTCCCAGAAGTAACATTGGTTCAAGGTGATCCTGGGGAAATCTGCACAGAGAAAAACGTACAGATAATGTAATATAATGAGAATAAAAGCAAAACAAGAAAGATATAATGATAAAGGTGGAAAAATAAACCACATGACATTCGTCTTTATTAACAGGAAAAACAATGAAATATACTCACACAAGTCCTTAGATATTTTTAGTGAATTAAATTATTTTACCTGACGTAAATTCTAGCAATATTTTATTATTTTTTAGGGTAAATTTTGGCGGCCAAAAAACTGACACATAAAAAAATAATTATCTATATATCAGACTAAGGAAAGAAAGATGAATCTTGGATTTATATAAGAGTGAAATTAAAGTTGTTTATATATACACATTTATGGGTGTGTAAATTATAGGTCTACCATAAGAGGGTTCCGAGGGGTCAACGCCCCCGCGGCCCGGTCTGTGACCAGGCCTCATAAATGTAACAGAAAATAAGATACAGTATAAAGAAAGGTCAGAAATACTCAACACTACACCAGGAATTACAGAGGAATATATATAGCCAAGGGCGTCCTGACGACACTTCCCTCAGGACTTGCTTTCACGTACCATCACAACCACCAGAGTTGTTGCTTGTACTGGTTGTAGGTGTGGTTATGGTGGTGTTAGTCTGGTGGTGTTGATATTATGGTGTTGGTATCATGGTAGTCATGATGGTACTGGTTGTAGGTGTGGTTATGGTGGTGTTAGTCTGGTGGTGTTAGTCTGATGGTGTTGGTATCATGGTAGTCATGATGTTACTGGTAGTAGTAGGTGTGGTCATGGTGGTGTTAGTCTGATGGTGTTGATATTATGGTGCTGGTATCATGGTACTCATGATGGTACTGGTTGTAGGTGTGGTTATGGTGGTGTTAGTCTGGTGGTGTTGATATTATGGTAGTCATGATGGTACTAGTAGTAGGTGTGGTCATGGTGGTGTTAGTCTGATGGTGTTGGTATCATGGCAGTCATGATGGTACTGGTAGTAGGTGTGGTCATGGTGGTGTTAGTCTGATGGTGTTGATATTATGGTGCTGGTATCATGGTAGTCATGATGGTACTGGTTGTAGGTGTGGTTATAAGAACATAAGAACATAAGAACGAAGGAACACTGCAGAAGGCCTACTGGCCCATGCGAGGCAGGTCCAAGTCCCTACCGGCTTAAGCCAATGCACCCAACCTAGTCAGGTCAGGTCACACTGACTTAAGGGAGGAACACGGCAACCGACCTGTTAGCACAAGCTATCAGGTCTAACTCACACCCACCCACATCTACTCATGTATTTATCCAACCTATTTTTAAAGCTACACAACGTTCTGGCCTCTATAACGGTACTTGGGAGTTTGTTCCACTCATCCACAACTCTATTACCAAACCAGTACTTTCCTATATCCCTCCTGAATCTGAATTTTTCCAACTTAAAACCATTGCTGCGAGTCCTGTCTAGGCTAGATATTTTCAGCACACTATTTACATCCCCTTTATTTATTCCTGTCTTCCACTTATAAACCTCAATCATATCCCCCCTAATTCTACGTCTTTCTAGAGAGTGCAGTTTCAGGGCCCTTAGTCTATCCTCATAGGGAAGGTTTCTGATACATGGGATCATCTTTGTCATCCTCCTTTGTACATTTTCCAGAGAATTTATATCCATTCTGTAATACGGTGACCAAAACTGTGCAGCATAATCTAAATGAGGCCTAACCAAGGATGTATAGAGTTGAAGAACAACCTGAGGACTCCTATTATTTATGCTTCTTGATATGAAGCCAAGGATTCTATTAGCTTTATTGCGAACACTTATGCACTGTTGTCTTGGTTTCAGATTACTGCTAACCAGAACTCCTAAATCTTTTTCGCAATCCGTAATATTAAGATCTACATTATTTAGTTTATATGTGGCATGGTTATTGTCCTGTCCAACATTTAGAACTTTGCATTTGTCTATATTAAACTGCATCTGCCACTTCTCCGACCACTGCATCAGTCTATTCAAATCTTCCTGGAGTGCTCGAATGTCCTCGTCAGAATGAATTCGACGGCCTATTTTGGTGTCATCGGCAAACTTGCCGATGTCGCTCTTTATGCCCTCATCTATGTCGTTTATGTAGATTGTGAACAGCAGGGGGCCCAACACTGACCCCTGTGGAACACCGCTCGTGACGCTTCCCCACTCTGATTTCTCCCCATTTATGCAAACTCTCTGCTGCCTATTTGTCAACCATGCCTCTATCCAGGAAAAAATTTCTCCTCCTATTTCATGGTGGTGTTAGTCTGGTGGTGTTAGTCTGATGGTGTTGGTATCATGGTAGTCATGATGGTACTGGTAGTAGGTGTGGTCATGGTGGTGTTAGTCTGGTGGTGTTAGTCTGATGGTGTTGGTATTATGGTGTTGGTATCATGGTAGTCATGATGGTACTGGTTGTAGGTGTGGTTATGGTGGTGTTAGTCTGGTGGTGTTGATATTATGGTGTTGGTATCATGGTAGTCATGATGGTACCGGTAGTAGGTGTGGTCATGGTGGTGTTAGTCTGATGGTGTTGATATTATGGTGTTGGTATCATGGTAGTCATGATGGTACTGGTAGTAGGTGTGGTCATGGTGGTGTTAGTCTGGTGGTGTTAGTCTGATGGTGTTGGTATCATGGTAGTCATGATGGTACTGGTAGTAGGTGTGGTCATGGTGGTGTTAGTCTGGTGGTGTTAGTCTGATGGTGTTGGTATCATGGTAGTCATGATGGTACTGGTAGTAGGTGTGGTCATGTGGTGTTAGTCTGGTGGTGTTAGTCTGATGGTGTTGGTATCATGGTAGTCATGATGGTACTGGTAGTAGGTGTGGTCATGGTGGTGTTAGTCTGGTGGTGTTGATATTATGGTGTTGGTATCATGGTAGTCATGATGGTACTGGTAGTAGGTGTGGTCATGGTGGTGTTAGTCTGATGGTGTTGGTATCATGGTAGTCATGATGGTACTGGTTGTAGTGTGGTCATGGTGGTGTTAGTCTGGTGGTGTTGATATTATGGTGTTGGTATCATGGTAGTCATGATGGTACTGATAGTAAGTGTGGTCATGGTGGTGTTAGTCTGATGGTGTTGATATTATAGTGTTGGTATCA